CCTATATTACTTGAGTGATACGTATACTTGCGTTGATAAGTGTGACTTTACAATTATTGAATATTTTATACATCCATCTTTATTGAATCTATAACTATTATTAAGTTTTGGTACAATTGCTGAGGAATTAAATCTTTTAGCAGCAGTATTAAATACTTATATTTTTAAGTATATATAAAGTCGTTGTCATTAATCTCTTTCAATTCATCAATGGTAGATTTAATTTCCTCCTCAAATTATGGGGGAGCATCTTCTATTAGTTGATCAGTAGAGTCATCCTTTATATCGAGGCAATCCTCCTCTGACTCACCAATAACAACCATGCATATTTCAGAATCATCGACTTGTCCGAATGTACCAAATCTGAGACCCTTTTTTGAATTTGAGTTCGACTTTTACCGTTCCATAATTTTTCAAAAAGTTTAAATTTATCTTTTGGCATTTGTTTTGGTAAGTGTCTCTGTTGAATTAATTTTTGAACACAAGGCGAGAAGTAACCAAAAGGTAATTTCATTAATTCATTAGAATCATCATCCAAATTTACATGTTTTTCAAGCTCAGTAAAGGTAGAAGCACGGTAAAATTTGATCGGCTTTATACCAACACTACGGACTTCCTTGACCTCTAAACTCTCGACCTTTTAAGGGAGAATCGAAGTAAGGGTCATAGCATTCACATAATGGTTTATTCGATCATACATTGTTTCATATTCATTTTTTCTCTGTATCTTCTAGGGATATCTCGTACTGAGGTCTCTTCTGTCTTGTCATCATTATCTCGTCTTTAGAACTGTCTTCATCACCAACATTGATGGTTGGCCTAGTCCGTTCAAATATTAAATTAATCCTTTTTCTTGTAATTTTTCTAAGCATCCTTAGTACGACAAATTGCACTTATTCTTAAAATGAATAAGAAATTCGAACTCTTAAACTTAACAACTAGATAATCCTACATTTTAGTTTTAACTTGAGTTATTGAAAATTTTTCTAAAGTTTCACTATTGCATTTATAAACAAAAATTATAGAAATCTTTAAGTTAAACTCACAACCATAAGTTATAATTTTTTTTATAGTAAAAGGAGTTATTTGAGGAAAAGTAACGTTCAAGTTTGGGGGAATTAATGTACACTAAAAATTATCTATTTTTAGTGTACATTTCATGCTCATTTTATGTGTATTTTTTATGATATTGCACTTTAAAGAAATATATTTTACATGTTTTTTTATTTGAGGTACATGGAATTGACATTTAGAGAAAATGATGACAAAATAGAGAAAAAGTGGAATATTTTTGTATGGCGCTATAGCGCCAGATATTGATCGGGTTGGGCGCTATAGCAACCCAGACTAGCGCTATAATATCAGTAACTAACTTTCTAGAATATCCATTGAATTTGGCTGAATTTGAGAGGGGTGTCTGAAGTGACCCTTGGTGATTTTTTGTTATCTATTAATAGGGCCAAATTTTGGATGAAAAAGGAGTCTTTTTGGAGTCTTTAGAGAGTCTTTTCGGGATTTAGAGAATATTTTTGGGATTGTGTGTGTGAGTGTGTGAGTGAGAGTCTTTGTTTTGTGTAAGATTTTGGAGATTGCTTCAAGGAAACTTCAGGATTTACTTAGGGAGAAGACATAAAGATAAATATCTTATATTTTTGTTTAAGTTTTTTGTTGTAAGACTTGACTTTCAATACAAATTATGTGTTTTTGTTTTATCTCTATGAATCTGAGTAGTTCTATTTCTTTCTCCTTGCATTTGGAAATTAATCTTGCGGGGTGAGAATGATTTGAAGATTTCTTTTTATTTTAAAACATTGATAATTTTACTGGTTCTTCATTGACTTTACAAACAGGTCATTTGCATTCTTAAAATCCGTTGAGAAACATGATGACTTTAGAGGGCTATGATTTCACCAACTAATGAGTACCACATTTCAACTTAGACAGAGCCGTTGCGATCACCGAAGGAGAGTGCAAATAGATAGAGAGATAAGTTTTGATAGGTGTAGAATTGATGTTTCTAGGGTAACAAACTAGATTATTTTATCAATTCAGTTTAGTGTTTGGATCGTAAGGGTCCCTAGTAGGTTCTACAGAGATGGCACACTGGGTAATCTAGAAGTGAAAGGCTATAATCTACTCAGCATTATTACACAAGCTGATGAAAAGCTATAAGTTAACCAATGTTCTTTGTTAGCACCAAGAGGGGGTAAATAATAGGAATGCTCATATTTGGCACAATACATCATTTTATCCTTTTCATCATTCAAATCCTACACCGATTAACATTTCTTTGCAAGGGAAAAGATATTTTTATGACATTCAAACTCATTTTTATACTTTATTAGTCTTTTGAACTTTATTAAACTATTAAATTTAGTTAGTTCCTACTTAAATTAAGTATTAAACTGTTGCCAACATTTCAATATTGTTCTCCTAGAATATTTATCTACAATTTAGATAGAGTTGCAAGTCATTATTAAGAGTTCTTCTTTCCTCATGGGATCGATATTGAGGTATTTAAAGAAAACTCTACATTAGATGAAACGATACGTATATTTTCGCCAACAAAACCTAAAAGACAAAATTATAATCATCATTTCATGCCAACTCCACATGGCACCCTTAGCCAACAAAACCTAAATCAATTCTAAGGAGACCAGAAACCATCAAAATTGAGCCCGGCAATCCAAACAGTACTCTCCCCAATCACCCCAAGCTGAGATCTTGTTAGCGCCCTTCACTTAAAACAGAAAATCAGATTTTTCGATTTAATTAAATCCCAGAAAATAATAACTTAGAAAAATCATTACTTAATAAATAAAAATTAAATAAATAAAATAAAAATACTACTTAACTCAATAGAATGAGCAGAATTAAACGAAAAGAAAACATAAATAATTTAACTCAAACTTAATTTTAAAATTACTTACAACCTTTAATTTATAATTAAATCATTAAAAATTCATATTTGATAAAACATTCAAACATGACGCGCTCTCTATCCATGAGAAGGTTCCTTGATTCTTCTAAATACAGAAGCCACCGTTTAATTAAAAAAACCTAATTTTAAAAAAAAATAGCAATTAACTATAAAAGCAAATTTATAAATTAAAATAAAAATTAGAAAAATATAATTGGAATTTTGAAAGGACAAAAAACTAAGTAGACTAGTGAATTAAAATGATGATCTAACCCAGTAAAACCCAAAAAATACTTTAAACCAATGAGGACACATTTGTAAATATATAAAATTGCAATTTAATCCTTAGTCTCCAAAGAAATTGATTGAAATAGTAAATTGAATATTTAAAACCCTAATCAACATACAATATGAAATGAGTAAGTTGAAGAAAAAGTTGTCAAAGCCGAAGGATAAGCATGTGGGCGAATTATAAATATTCAAAAATCATAAGAATAAGGTCATAAATAAAAAATATTTGTTAACTTTTATTAACCTAAATCAGAAGAACAATCATTAACTAATTCTCTAAAACATTTGAAAGGAAACTTAGCTAGTTCTATAAGCTGCTTTAACACGACCTTAACTGAAATTGAACAAAATAAATAACAATAAATAGTAAAGGATGGAATGTAACAATAACCTAAGCACAATGAAGTCTTCAAATCTTAAAGAAATCCTAATTATCATTCTAAATTTTGTTATATTTCATTTAGTTTGGTTCATTTCATTTTCTACATAGATTTCAATTTTAGGTTAAATTTGGGTAGACTTAAGCAGGGTTCAAGTTATAGCCTTTCCAAGTTCAGTTCACTCATCTGGTGATATTAAGAGATGGGCCTATGTTCTGATGAGATTAAAATATAAGGAAAAGGTTTGACTAAAAATTTAAGTCAACTCACATGAGATTTGCCAAATAAATAAATTAATTAATAATAATAATAATAATAATAATAATAATAAAGAGAGAAACTGAGTAAGAAAGATGAACCAATTACATGCTACAATCAGCAGGATTAAATAAAAAATAAATAAATTCATTAAACCAACCTTAGTTTTAAAAGATAAACATACAATAATCATTCACTATCTTCCACATTCTCACAAAAACTTCCTTCAAAACACCTGAACATAAGGGTTTCAAAAGATGGAAATTGATCAAAATTTGGAAACTATATCTAAACATGCATACAACTCAAATTTTACATATTTGTAGAACTCGTATCTAAATTTTATGTTTTTACAATTGTAGCACTTTAACTATCCGTGAAAAGGTGCATTTCACTTCATAAAAGTTGGCAACAGTGACATATTTTATGAAAAATCAAAAGATTTGACTGTTATAATGTAAAAAATTAAAATATAAGCGTTAGATTTCTAAGTACATAAGAATTGTGTGGCAATCATGTAAATGCCCCAAAAAATAGTAAAAATAAGCCGACATCAAATAAGTTTACCACATTGTGCATATGGTTCTCACCTGTAATTTTGATTTGCACACTTAACAATTACAATAAGAATAGTTCCGAAATGCATAATTTTTCTAATGTAATCGGAGAAAGGAGCCATAATAAGCTTTTTTATGCAAGAAAATTCATAACAAAGATGATCACAAACCATTTCCATAACTCCTTGGACGATGAAGAACATTGCCTCTTATGATTTCCTCAGAAGATAAGAAACAATAAAGCCTAAAAGGGCACCTGCTATTACCTGCATGAGAAATTGAAATATTAAATTACATAATAACGTGGCCATGCAACATGGAAAAGAGTACTATGCAAAGAATAATGCGGAAGGGGTTGAATAATTGTCAGAAATTTTCAGATCCAAATGATGATTTCTTTTGGAATATTGACAAACAAACCACTCAGTTGCTATTTATTTACATATCTAAGATCTGAATTTCAATTTTTATATATACATGCCTTGTTTATACCAAAAAATGTGTATTTCATTTTTTAAAAGCCAAAATAGTCATATTTTTTATGTGATATCAAAGATTTAGGCAGTATAATTGTAAAAAGGGAAATTTAGGTCTTCGATATGTAAATACGTAAGAATTAGGTGATACATAAGAGCCGGCTCAATACAAATTCAAACATAGAGCCAAGTTGAAAACGAATGAGTATGATCCACAAGCTAATTTCAAGCCAGATTGTCGGGACTAAATCGACTCAAAATTGAATTATTTTCACTCTTAAACACAAGCAGGAAAACCTCCAACTTGCATAAACTTGGTGCACTCGCATGGAGGACTTATTGGAAGCTCCTCGTACTAACCAAACGAACAGTTTTCTGTCTACAAATATAAAAATGTAGGAATGAAAATGATGATATTTGGATATAGCTTTTGATCCATATAGATTTAATGTGTATCTGGTTAAAAATTGAAGAAATGACTTCTTGGTTGAATGATTTGCCGAGCGGGTGAGAAATTCACCATTGTTTATTGACACCGTTGTTCATTGACTCAATTCTTGTCATTTCCATAAATCAAAGCCTTAAGTTCCATTACTACATCCTTACACTCCACATTTTGTACTTAATTCATATTTGGAAGATTTACATACATTCTTAGATATTTCCGTGTCTAACAACTAAACTTCAATTTTTATATAAAGGCCATGTTACCTATGCATAAAAAGTATATTTCACCTTTTAAAAGTTAAATAGTGGTATTTTTTAATGTGATACGAAAGACTTTATTGGTATAAATGTAAAGAAGCGAAGTTTAGGTGTTAAATATGTAAATACATAGGAATTGGGGGGTATGAGTGTACAGTCCCCTTCATATTTTAACTGAAGAAAGAATTACTTAACAGCAAACTTCATTTCAGGTCTGCTAGATGGATAGATCTATCTCTAGTATCTCTCTCCTCTATAGAGATTCTGCTCTCCTCAAAGAGAGAGTGTAAAGGCGTGCATGCATAAGGGAAAAAGAGAGAGATAGAGCCCAGAAGCCTATCTCCATCAAGTGTTTCGTCTCATAAAGAACATAGCTCGGCAAAAATAGACATCAAAATTAGCCAAACAGTTCAACATTCTGCTCGCAAGGCTTTGGTTGAACAAACTATGCCCTCAACCAATCAGAAAAGTAAAATAAAAAATAAGAAATGAAGCTCTTCTATACTCTATTTTAAGAGGAAAGTTTCCTTTGACGGAAAATAACATTTGAAAGACACTAAATAAACGGTATGGCGTGTAATAAGACAAGAAAATGACTTAAATAAGATGAATGATAATGGATACCTGAAGTGGAGTATGTCCAAGCAGCTCGCGTAATGGCCTGATACTAGATAAAGGATGCTCTGACGGCAACTCACAAACTATCTGGTTCAACAACTGAAAAGGAAAACTTGATGCAAATAATTGTAAGCGACAAAAAAAAAAAAAAAATCAATGACATGGTTGCATTTGAGCATCCATTTGAAACTTAGATAACTTGTGGCATGCATGACTGCATGAATAAAAATTAGACATTAAGTTGCCTTAATTGCAATATAAAGATTATGAATTTGTATTACCGAGATAAGTGTCAAATTAGTCCCCTAAATAGTCCCCTGACACTTTATAGGAGATCATTTTAGTCCTAGAGTCTATAAAAATGTCAATTTAATCCCCAGGCTCTTTTAATGGGGGCTAAAATAGTCTTACATGAAAATTTAGCCCGAATTAAAAGAGTCAAGGGATTAATTGGACACTTTCACCGACTCTAGAACTAAAATGACAATGTAAATAGTCGAGAGCTATTTTGGCACTACTCAAAAAAAAAATCCAAAAATACTTGTCAATAATGCATGTACAATTGTGTAAATCATATCATTCTAAACCACTTGTAGGCTGGTGCCAATGCATCAAACATGCCATTATATAAGTTAACAAGTTATAATTTTTTTAGCAGGTTATAATTTTATTACCAACTAAACGCGGCTTCCGGGCAATCCGCCATCACCATCCTCATTAGCATCATCCCAATTATTTGAAGCCTACTTTATGAAACCCTCTTCCATTTATTTTTGTTGAATGCATAGGAGGCAAAAATTGTATTTCACAAAAACATTTATGCATCATTTTTATCTATGTTATAGTTGATCCACTCATTTTTTTTCTCTTTCTAATCCTTCAAAATTAATCTTATCCATTACATGTATGTTCAACTATTTGGCGCATGAGACTTCTCTCTTTTGTCTTAATTCGTGTAATCTATGACCATCTCCATCAAATTAGCATAACTAAGATCAGTGTTTGGGAACAAGTTCACACACAATTTGACAAATAAAGTCCTGAGATGTACTTCATTAGCGTTTGCCTTTACTGGGTTTATTTCCAAATTAACCACCTAAAATCAAAACTCTAAGTAAAACTGCACAGATTATCCCTAGCATTGCGTCAAACTGTATCCCTTCTTTCATACAACTTCTACACATCCCATCAAATAGAACTCTCAACAAATTTGTGTTCAAAATCCATAAGTCACCACATAAGGTCCATTCAACTTTGAGCATTGTAGCATGTCAAAAGATGATGGTTTGGCCTAAGTTGAGGGAAGACATCCATGTCATGATTATCATACCCAATCCATGCAATCTAACTTCTTGACGTGGGAACTTCACATTGGCTCTTACTTTAAAAAATCTCATCCTTCATGAATGTTAGCCATATCCTCATTTTCATTCTCACCAACACTATTTGCATCTAGCTCTGAAAGAAGAGGAATGGTGCTTGGCGCACTAGTTACAATTGTAGTTGTTGCATCATCATCCACTCAATGGTGAGCATTTGCTCTGTTATTCCATCCACATGACCGACTAGATTTGGTGTGGGATTGTTGTTAGCCACTGATAGACTTTATTCCCTCTCATCTTTTTTATTGTCTTTCTCTTGGCTTCCAGTGAGTCTCCAAGATTAAAAGCAGTCCTTCCTTTATCTTTGTAACCCTTTCTTGTCTGTAAAATACCCCAAAATCCGTGCTCTGGCACCAACTTGATCAGCCGGTTCTTTTTTGCATTAGTTTCTTTCTCATTGCAGATGGCTTCCACTATGTTTTACACCCATTTCATAATCAAAAGTTTTTTTGGAATTTTCACTTATTGCTGAATAAAGCTTGCGGAGGAGGCCGTTCTCAGGTAATGGACAGAAACCAGGATGTCTTTTTCTGTCTGTCTGCTGTTTACAAAAACAGTTTTGCTGTTTTGGTTTGTGCTATCACCTATGCACTGTAGATATGTATTCTCTCGGTTTTAAGTTCTTCATTGGGCAAAAAACAAAGTTGCTAAATACGCACGCATACGTCACCTAGGTTCTCTATTTTTTTTTTTCACTTGTGTTGAATTTCCACTCAAATGATAACAAAGAATTAACACGGATTAAGGTTTTATACTATTACATCAAAACATACGGATCGAGACACTGCACCCTTAGATCAAAGCACGTGGATTGAGGCTTTATGCCATTAGATCAAGAAACACAAATCAAGGCTCTGTACTATTAGATCAAGGCACGTGGATTGCAAACTTTGTGCTTTCCTATAGGATCAGTGCCTAATAATTTTTCCCTTCTTTTTTAATTTATTCATGTTTTGTAATGCCTCTAAAAGTTGTACATATGACCTCCCTCCTGTCCAAAAAAAAAAAAAAAATTGAAAATTTCTTGAGTTTTTCTCATTACATATTTTCTACATAGTATCAGAGAGAGATTAGGATGTTTCATCTAACTTTGTTTTTATTCTCTAAGTTTAGGGCGTTTCTTTCAACTTTTGTTCTTATTCTCTAAGGTTAGGGCATCGACTCCAACCATTTTTTTTCTTATTCTCTAAAGTTGGGGTTTTCAATTCCAACCTTATCCTTCTTATCGAATTCTAGTTCTTTCATGATGATTCTTCGACTTCCCTTCAAAGGAATCAACCGTGATTAAAAATAAAAATCATACCAAAGGAGAACTCCAAGTATTTCAAGCATCTTATCACTTGAACAAGAAAAATTGTCTTATATGGTCCCAAATTGTGAAAAACTTTCTAGAGAAAAATCCAACACCTATGAATCTACCTCCGGACCCAAAGACCTAAAGTATGTTTACATTGGGAAGAAACTAATTACATGATCATAACATGATTGTGGAACACGATACTACCAGAGATTAGTGTTCCTTTCATGTTTCTCCACCTCAAAAGAGATTTAGGATGCAGTTAAACAAACCTACTCAATGGTAAATAATGCTACACACATCTATAAAATCTAGACAAACCTCGTCGCGACTAAATAAGGTAACATTCTTGTCATTGAATACTTTAACAACATGAAAGTTTACTAATTAAAGTTGGATTATCGCTCAGATCTTAAGATGTCCTACTATGAGAATGAGAAAATCCTTACAAAAATTCGTCGAGCAAGAAAGAATCTGAGTCTTTGGCAGGACTCAACAATTTTTTATCAAATATGAATTCAAGTCTTTAAGCAGAGAAAATCTCCCTTTCTCTAAATGAATTATTCTCTCATTCGAGCAAAACAAGATAGAAGGATGGTGATGATCAACAGTACAACCCTTGAGATACTTGCCATGATAACTACTAAATCCCAAGATAAGGGACTTTCTGTCACAGAACATTTCCAAAAGGACAACATCCTCATTTCAAAGAAAATCTCAAGTGCAACTACTGCAAAAGGAAAGGGCAAACTAAGGATAAATATTGAAAACTTCACGGACAACCCCTAGACTATGGAGGAAGCAAAGGCGGAAATATGAAATGACAGACTTTTCTAGTGGAGTCAGAAATATTTAATTTAGAAGAAATTGATAAATTAAGAATTTTTCTCAATTCCTTGGAAAAACTACCAAGATCTTGTTCTCTAGCTCATAATGGTATGCTTTCTAATTTTCATACTCTTAGTGCCTCTAAAAGTTTTTTCTCTTCATAGATCCAAGATTCAGGAGCTACCAATCACGTGACAACCATGGCTAATATTTTTCAAACTTACAAACTCTGTTCTAACAATGAGAAAATAAAAGTTGTTGATGCTCTTTAAAAACTATTGCAGGACAATGAGACATCTAAAGTTCTCCCAATATAACTCTCAGTAAGATATTACTTATGTCACACCTTGCAGTTAACATTTTATATATTCACAAATTTACCAAAGGCCACAACTGCAAAACCATATTTATTTAGTGATTATTGTGTTTTACTGGATCTCACTATGAGGAAGAAAATTGGACGATCTAGAAAATGAATGGGTCATACATTCTTGAAAATCAAAGTCAATTATCATACTCCTTTGCCTCTCAAACTACCGACAACATATGAACCTATCATTATAGATTAGGGCATCTTTTAAAATCTTTGGTGTATGTTTCTTTTGATTTTCATAAATACAAATATTAAAGACTTCCATTGAAAAACTTGTAAAATTTTTAAACATCACCATGTTTCATTTCCTGAAAGTAACAAAATATTTTAATCATTTTGTATTAATTCATTTTAATATCTAAAGACCTAAAATCTTCAATAATCTCTAAAGTCACTGATTTCATTACGTTTACTGTTGAGGATTCCCATCCCTGGCACATTGCTCACTGGCTCAGAAAGATTAAGGCACTCCAGACTCCTTCCATCCAATTTACTTTTATTTACAGAGGGCAATTGCCCAGCCAACTGGTTGGCCAAGTTTGGGCATGCTTCTAACTCTACTCTTGTTTCCAAAACCCCTTCCTCTTCTCTTGCTTTTATTTCGGGTGGGGACCTTTTAAGTGTCCATTACCTTAGAATATGTAAACGGATTTTCAATTAATAGATTCCCCTTTATCTATTTATATATATATATATATAATATATATCTGTGTTTGTATTTAATTAATGTTAATAGAAAGTTTAATTGAATCAGCACTAAAGATATAGAATTTAAGCTTGGAGGGAGAAGAAGTAGGTGAAGTGTGCGAGCTAAAGGAGGGTGATAAATCCAAACAAACTTTGGTACGATAAAAGTTTGGGTGTTTATTTATACAAAATATTTTTTTGTTAAATTAAATAGACGTTATTAAGTATGTTTTAATGAATTTAAACAGTGGTTAAAGAAAATTTCATTCAATGAATTAGAGCTTTAGATCATGATTTGGGCAAAAAGGAGTCAAAGCGAGCATAGTAATAGAAAGTAATCAGAGAATTAAGATTATAAAGAGGTCCTTTAAGATAAAAGGTGAGTAATTATTTTCTTATATGTATTAAATTAATATTTTATTAAATAAAGTCTTGTATTACTGCTTCAAATACATGTTTTTTCTAGTTATATGCATGTTGCAAGTTAAAAGAATCATTGAAATTAATGAAATGAAATGATAAAAAAAAATAA